TGTCTTCTGGCTTATAGTCTATGGGAACTTGAATAGAATTTGTATCCTGCTGTTGTGTGAAAATTGTTATCAATCTTAATCACGTTGAATTGGTTCATAGTGCTTTTCAGGTCTACTATATCCTTCTACTTTTCTGTCTATTCACTATTAATTTTTGAGTTTGATATAAAACTCCAACTAAAAATCTTATCTACTTAAGAAAATCATTGTAATATATAGTAGAACCATATGTAACTTTGTTCTGTATTTTCCAAGTTTCCTGTAAATGTGTTATCACACTTTCATAATTTAAAAAATAATATAGAGTGGGTTGCCATTTCCTTCTCCAGAGGATCTTCGCCACCCAGAAATCGAACCCACATCTCCTGCATTGGCAGGCAGATTCTTCACCACTGAGCCACCAGGGAAGCCCAGGAGCAATTTTACAATGGTATAATAATGACATCAACTGCTGCTGCTGCTAAGTCACTTCAGTCGTGTCCGATTCTGTGCGACCCCAGAGACAGCAGCCCACCAGGCTCCTCTGTCCCTGGGATTCTCCAGGCAAGAACACTGGAGTGGGTTGCCATTTCCTTCTCCAATGCATGAAAGTGATAAGTGAAAGTGAAGTCACCAAGTCATGTCCAACTCTGCGCGACCGCATGGACTATAGCCCACCAGGCTCCTCCATCTGTGGGATTTTCCAGGCAAGAGTACTGGAGTGGGTTGCCATGTCCTTCTCCAATGACATCAAAACTAAGTTCAAAATATTCTGCATGCTGGTGTCAAAAATAGTATGTCAAAATAGAAAGTATGTCAAAAATAGAAAATTTCAAATATAGTTGCAATATATAAAACACTATCACAAATAGTATCTCGCTGATTTTTCTCAACAACCCAGAGAGATAGCTGTATTATGTAATTCTCTCTCTACATATATAGAAATTGAGACTTAGAGAGATTAAATCATCAAGGTCATCCAGGTAATAATGACAAGGCAAGAAATCAAATTCAGGCCTTTGGGCTTTCAAAGCAAAAGACAATATAACAAGGACCCTGCAAACTGTATCTTTTGATTTTTCTCTAGTCCTTTTGTACTATCAAACAATACATCTGGGAGAAAAGAATTACAAATTCCTGATAGTCTGTGAATCTTTATGTTCTTTGAGTTTAGTGTATAACAGGTTTAATACTTTGAAAAGTACTTAGGTCTCACTTTCACAAAATAAAAAGTACATGTATCAAAACAATAAATACTATTTAAGTGTAGAATTATCTTCGTAACTAAACCTATTATCAAAATGCCACCTCTCTGGGAAACCACAAATTGTTCATGTTAACCCCCAATACTACTAGATATACATGCAAAAGCCCACTTAGAAAAGTCCGGTTTTTAATTTATTGTGATTACAATACAAGCATCACCCAGAGTTAGAACTGCACTGTATCTCTATGACCCTCACAACCACAAAGACAAGTTTTTATTTTTATTACAGTTGAGAATGAGCCTCATGATATTGTATAGGAAATTAATGTTTGGCTTTGGTTTTCTTACAGCCTATGGCAAAACTGTAGCTGATAGCATAAACCAGGGACTCTATTGCACACCTAATTTTTCTATGGTTCCACTGCCCTCTAGTGGCTATGTTAAAACTAGTTATTAACAGTGGTATTACCCCTCAGAAGTCAGCAACAGTTCTCCGAGTGGGCAGACCAGCAGCACTAGCCACATCCAGGAACTTCCTAGACATACAGAGTTCAAAACCCCCCTAAGATCTACTAAAAAGAAACTCTGTGGATGGTGCCCAGAAGTATGTTTTAGTGACCCCTCCAGGTGATTCTGATGCACACTAAAGTTTGAGAACCACTAGGCAGTCTAAGGAGAAGGCAATAGCACCCCACTCCAGTACTCTTGCCTGGAAAATCCCATGGGTGGAGAAGCCTGGTAGGATGCAGTCCACGGGGTCACTGAAAGTCAGACGCGACTGAGTGACTTCACTTTCACTTTTCACTTTCATGCATTGGAGAAGGAAATGGCAATCCACTCCAGTGTTCTTGCCTGGAGAATCCCAGGGACGGGGGAGCCTGGTGGGCTGCCATCTATGGGGTCGCACAGAGTCGGACACGAGAGAAGCAACTTAGCAGCAGCAGCAGGCAGTCTAAGGGAAGCATTCTACCTGTAGTTGCAGTAAATGTGAAAGTATAAAGGTGTGTGTGAGGGTTAATTTTATGGTTTAATTTAACTGGGCTAAGTGTGCCAGATGGCTAGTAAGACATCCTGGGAGTCTGTGAGGGTGTTTCTCAAAGAAATTAGCATTTGATGAACTGAGTAAAGCAAATGGCTTCCCCCGCATGGGTGGGTATCATGCAGCTAGTTGAGGGCCTAAATAGAACAAAAGTCAGAAGAATGAGAAATTCACTCTCTCTGGTCCAGCTATAATATCCATCTCCACTTGTCTTCAGTCATTAGGACTCCTGTTTCTCAAGCTTTTGGACCCAGATCAGCACTTAAATCATTAGCCCCACGATTCTTAGGCCTTCAGATTTGGACAGAATTACACCACAGGCCTTCATAGTTCTCCAGCTTGTACATGGCTGGTGGTGGGGCTTTTCGGCCTCCACAACCATGTGAGCCAATTCTTACAAGAAATCCCCTCTTACATGTTTCCATATATACCCTACTGGTTCTGTTTCTCTGGAAAACTGTGACTAGGACAGTGCATGAGTGCTCTTTTATAAGTATTGTTCATAATTATTCCTATGATTTTTCTAAATTTTCAAAAGCCCTTCATATGTGCAGAATAATCTAGAAAAAGCTTGCATTAAATTGAGGGGGGATTTAAAAGTGCTATAAATCTGTGGCTGAATGATATAGAAAATCAGATAAAATGAATAAAGGTAAAATAATTAGATATTAAAAGTTCATTTTAAGAGCTTGCTAACTAGCCAAAACATCTGACGAGGATCCAGGTCAGTTTTTTTATATATATATAAACCCATTTGTTTCTTTGCTATAAAATCAATCATAAAGTATGTGTTGAATGCAAAGAATATTCAATCCAGGTTGGTGTGGGGAATGTAACATCCAGTAGATGTACATTATTTTCTACCTATTTTTTCCATTACATAAATTGCCACTTTCCATTACATGTAATGTTAGTCAAATTATTCAATCAGTGACATAGCCTTAGCCCCATCCCAAACTAGAGCCAGAAAATACTGGGATCAAACTTTTAAAACATTGTTTTATTGGCAAATAAATAATTTAATAATAGTTTTTACAAATCATGTGTAATTTATTATAGCTCTAGGCTGTTGATGGGTCAGTTCATCTATTTATCAGATAAAGAATAGAATGAAAGCAAACTAGACTTGAGGTCAAAAGTATGAGATTGGATCTGTGTGAAATTTGGCAAGTTACTTAAATTCTATGAGGCTTGCTTTTCCCAGCTAAAGGGTAGTGATAACAATAAATATATTGACCAATTTTTGTGAGGGTCAAATATATAAAGATAAGACAGACTTAAATGTTAAACAAAAGGAACTTAGACATTATGTTTGAGCAAATCTCAGAAAAAAATGCAAACATTACAGAAAGACTTAAAAATGGTACTGATTAATAAAAAGATGGGTATAACTCTTACTGCTTAAACCCTTTCTCAAAAAAAGCCCACTATAAACTCTGGATAAAACATGAAAAAAAAAAAACTACTTGAAAAAAAAGTAGGCAGACACTGGAAGGCAGTCAACGTTGTGAAGAAGGAACGGCACTGAGTAAAGACAGACCCCCATCGGCACACTGTGTATACAAACCGAGATAGAAAAGCTGCAGTCTTAATGGCTTAAAGTCCCAGAGGACAGAGTATGGAGTGACCACAGAAACTGAAAAGTGACAGTGAAAATCGTAAAAAGGAGACAGTCAACATACAGTAGGCCTCATTTCATGTATTAACTCTTCCCAAATCTCTGACTGACTGAACTACATATATGTGAGGGGCAGACTCCAAGGAGTACATTGAAAGCTAACCAAATAAAGACTCTTTAGAGTTCAGAGTTTAAGTTTCTGAAAGAAAAAAAAATATTCCTCTAAGAAACAATCAAGAGGATCTAAAGATACTCATAGTATCCAGGAAACAATTGAAAATTAGCCAAAGGTAGAAGCAACCCAATGAAGTATAAATAAAGAAAATGTGGCATATATGTATATACCATGGAATATTTTTCATCCTTTAAAAAGAAGGAAGTCTTCTCACACACTACAGTATAAGATGAACCATGAGGATATTATGCTAAGTGAAATAATCCAGTCACAAAAAGACAAATACTTCATGATTCCACTCATACGCAATATCTACAATAGCCAACTTCATAGAAATAGAAAATATAATTGTGTTTGCCAGGGAGAAAGAGAGGAATGGGAAATTGTTCAATGGAAATAGTGTCTCAGTTCTGCAAGATAAAAATGTTAATAGAGCAGCAAAACAAAGTGAATATAGTTAACACTACTGAACTATATTCTTAAAAATGGTTAAGATGGGTTAAATGATTATTTTTGTTTTCTTCCTCTTCCTCCTCCCTTTCTTCCTCTTCCCTCCTTTTCCTTTTCCTCTTCTCAATCTGTCTCCAACTCACTGAAAAAAAAGATATACATATATCACAACACTCAACATATATATATAATATACATACATACATATATATATGTGTGTATATATATATATATATAAATGGATCAAGAAAATAGAGGAAAGAAGACAAAAAAGTTGGAGGCAATTCAATTCTACCTTCTAATTATGAGAATTAGACCCTTTCTTTTCAGTTCAGTCTCAAGATGGCAACTTTACAAGGCAATAGAGAAATTAAATAATAAAAATATTATACTCTCTAACATTCATAATTAATGTACTAGAACTGGTATCAAATTAAGATAGGCAAAAATAAGAAACACACACATACACAAACTTTTTCTTTACTAACCAATGAAATAAAAAATAAGGAAACATATCTCTTAAGTGAATAGCTTATTCCATGAGGAAATACTTCATTCTACAATCTCTTTGAGCTGGTTTTCCATCAACTTCATCCAGTTTAGTCTCTTCACTTGTGTTTGGGTGCAAAGTCCCATAATAAACAAGAAGAAAAATAATTCCAAGGAGAAGAGAAAGAACTATAGTAATGCTGACAGGTATAAAATAGTCTGCATTAAAAATAGAGCGTGGGTCAAACCAGAACACAATCAATATCCCCAATGTGACCAATACCCTTACAATATAATAACAAGACATTGGGCATTTGGTATTTTGTCCCTTAATATTAAAAAATGTAAAGATAAGAATGAATCCAACAACAATCCTGTATAGGATTTCCATACTTGTGGAAACACAAAAATCAGTTTGTTCTTTAAATGCCCAAAATATACCTAAAAGCCAAAGAAATGACAACAGAAGGAAAGCAATCTTAACATTTAAGAATAAAAGAAGCACAACACTCAACATCCAAGATAATAATGTAAACAACTTGTAAAAGAGATATACAAGCTTGGGACAGGGTCCATTAAAGAGATTTTTATCAGGTAAGGATTTTCTTAAAGCTACTTGATAATCAACAGTCGACCAAGAAACAGCACAGCAAGAGACCACGATGGCTGCATCTACAAAACAAAAAAATTTTTAAGGATGTAGTTATAGAAATAACAATAGCAATATTATTATACACCATAAATGTTTTATCTGTATATACACAGCCACAAACACAAGTCAGGCACTTTATATACTCATCTCATTTAATCATTTGAAATAGATATTAATATTTCTGTACTACATATGAGGGAATTGAGGCTTAGAGAATATATGTATTACTTGACCCAAATCACACAGCCAGCAAGTTGCAGAGAGGTGAGATCTGAATTGAAATCTGCCCGATTCCAAAGTTGGTATACTTAACCACTATACCAGAATGTGAATAAATTCACTGGACAAATCTTCTTGAGCACCTGGTACAATGCAAACTGCATACTATGGAAGTTTTCTAATAGACTAGTTATAGTCCTAGCTTTTCCAATCTTTTTGACTTTGGCCTTGGGCATAAACCTAATTCACTGAGAAATGGCATCCAAGAAAGAAAACAGCAGAAAAACAGGGAAGAAGGTTAAATGGAAATTTTAACCTAAGTATGAGCTATTGACTGCTCAGTTTCCCATGTCTTTAAGATGACAGATCAAATGAACAAATATGATCTAAAACTTATAAATTTCTATAGGTTTTACATCTTTAGCCTATTTTTTATCCCATCAAATAACAGAAAAGCAAGCTAATTACTACTTTGGAAAGACATGTCATTATCCCACCGTCAAAGTTGGGGACCTAAAATTGAAAGCAAAGATAGTAGGGAATTAGAAGGAAGTAATTTAGAGTAGAATACAGAACGCTCATCATTCCCATTTAAGCTCATTGAAGGTCAATATATTAAGAAAGAAAGGCAGATTTAAGACAGATCTATCTATTGAAGAGGATTATAAATGACTTTGTCCACTCTCCTGGTTTTAGCATATAGCATTCTGTGGACTCCACTAATTAGTTGGACTTTTCTTTCTTCTTTAATTCAAAATTATGAATTAAAACATCATTTCCCCTAAACTGCCCTTCAGTGGTGTCTTTTTTCTAACTGGTTTTAATTTCTACCAAATCCAGTACACATACTTCGTTTTTAAACATCAATAAATGCCGTAGAACTTATAAGAAAAAAAGCAGTAGCTTGCTCTGCCCCTTCTCACTTCTCAGTAGGGACCCTCAGAAAAAAACCACTATCAACTTTTAGCTTTTCTTCTGACATTATTGCCCTATTTCTAAATAGAACACATACTGTGCTATTTTTTTTAATTTATCGACTTCAGACACTGCTTATTGATGTAAAAGCTGCTTGGCCAAATTACTACCTTCTGCTTATATTTCTTTTCCTTTTAAAAACTTTTTTTGTTGAAGCATTTTATTAATTTTAAAAAATCCCTCAGCTTTACTGAGATATTATCAATATATATGCAAGTTTACAATGTGATGATTTGATATACATATATACACAAAATGACGACCACAATGAGGTTAATTAATACCTCATCCACACATGACATTTTTGGTGGGTCAACATGACAACTTTCAAGTATACAATGCAATATTTTTAAAACATTTCATTGTTCCTTACTTTATTATTATTTCATGACTCATATTTTTTTAGCAAACTCTTCAAATTAATTAAACTCCCCAGATACCTCGATTAGCTTTTTTTAAAATAATAATATGACCTTTCTGGTCAAAGGTAGCTGTTGTCAAGGTTTGCTTTCTGTCTTCCCAGAACTTGCCTTTACCTTTCTTCACTGTTGATTTTGTTTCCCATTATTTCTTTCTTGCTTCATTCTCATGGTTTGATCAAACATCCTCCAGACATTTCTGAGAAAAGCTGCACCTAAGCTGAACTTTTAAGCATGAATGTCTCTAAATGTCTTTATTCTACCCTCCATATTTGATATACAGTTTCAACAGAAATAGAATTCAAAGTTTAAAAATTTTTTCCAAGGAAACTTTGAAGTAATTTATCTTTTAAATTCTAATCTCAAGTGTTACACTTAATAATGTCAAAGTTATTCACTTTCTCTATACTTAAACAATCTTTACTTTCTTTCAAATCTTCTAAAATCTTTAAGTCTCTGAAATGTTATGATGATGGGCTTGGTGTGGACCATTTTATCAACTTTTCAATCTAGTAACACATGTCCTTCAGAGATATGCTGCTTTTATTCTTTGAAGGCTTCCCAAGAAATAACAACATGTATACTAAACAGATTAAAGTTTAAAATTAATCAAAATTTCTACCTCACAGGAAGATTTATCATGGAGGTAGTGAAGCTTAAATTTCAGGGACCCATGCCTGCCCAGACTCCTTCCAAGCCTGGCAAAGCCTGGCAATGTGTTCCCTTTGTCATATACTTTTATAAAATTTGGAAAAATAAGATCTTTTAATTGTAATTGCTTAAATTCCCTGTTTCTACTCCTACTTTCCCTCTTCCACATTTTTCCCTAAGTGTACTGAAGCAACTGTCATCATTTTGGGGCTCTAGCTAAAGAGAAATTGAGTTGAGAAGAGTTTAGGTTTAGGAAGATTTGTTTATAAGATTTGCTTGGATAATTATGATGAGTAAGTAACAGATCTAGGATTTTCAAGCAGTTTGCCTTATCTTGAAGAAGTGAAGTGAAGTCACTCAGTTGTGTCCGACTCTTTGTGACCCCATGGACTATAGCCCACCAGGCTTCTCTGTCCATGGGATTCTCCAGGCAAGAATACTGGAGTGGGTTGCCATTTCCTTCTCCAGGGGATCTTCCCGACCCAGGGATCGAACCCAGATCTCCCACATTGCAGGCAGACACTTTAACCTCTGAGCCACCAGGGAACGCTTTACTATCCTGCCATGAACAGGTCTTTGATTCCTTAACATTAAGGCATGATGATTTATCCTTGTCCACCTGACACTATTTGTTTGATATTATTTTCCATTTCCTGCTTACCTACCTGTTTCCCATATACTTTTTCTGCCCATTTTTCTAATCTAATCTGTACATTACACTTTATCCGAACTGAATTTCCTTGTCTTTACCAAACCATGCCTTTGTTTATGCATTTCTCTCAGTATGGAATGACTCTGCCCAATTACATCTATACAGATTCTTTTTAACTTCTTCTGATTTGACATTATTGACATCAGTGAAAAAAAACAAGACTTCCACTATTTACTAAATTAGACATCAACAATAAATTAGTGTTGTCAATTCAAACAGTATTTAAAATCAGTTACTTCATCAAAAAAAAAACTTGATATACCCTGATCTTAAACCATATTATTGAATAAATTGGTAGAGTTTGTTTCAAATGTGACAATAATCCAAAAATATACATATAACATTATCAATAATTTGTGAAGTTGAAAGAAACTTTTCTAAATTAAAAGATAAAATTTCTATTAACTATGCTACAAAAAAGAGTGAATTTTTCTTTTCTACAGAAAGTATAAAATCATTATCAAATCAAAAGCCAGTCAGATACTAAAAACTTGTATTAAAGAGCATTAAAATAAGAAAAAGATACTACTTTTCTTTCTCTTGTGAAATTTGTGGTATTGGTCAGATTTCTTATTCCTGTAATTTGCTATTACTTATTTTTTATATTTTAAAAAATGCTTATTTTCATACTTTTTATGGCCTGAATTATATTTTTCCAAAATTCATATGTTAAAGCCCTAACCCCCAATGTGACTACACTGAGATAGGCCCTTTAGAGAGATAATTAAGGTTCAGCAAGATCATAAAGGTGGAGCCTGAATCTAACAGGACTGGTATCCTTGTAAGAAGACAAAGAGATACCAGAGATCTCACTTTTTCTCCATACATAGAGGAAAGACATGTGAGGACACAGCAAAAAGGTGGCCATCTGCAACCCAAAGAATCCTCACCAGACACCAACCCGACTTGGCCCCTTGATCTCATATTTCCAGTCTCCAGAACTATGAGAAAATGTATTTCTGTTGGTTAAGCTGCCCAGTCTGTGGTATTGCTACAGCAGCCCAAGCAGACTAACATAATATCTAATTTTGTCTTCCTATTAATATATTCTTTAAAAAAAAATAGGGTCTAATTGTTTAATTTTACACCTTAAAAAGCCCAGATTCATTTCTGTTTTACCTTTCTCCTGAACTGTACAAGATATTTAAGACAGTTTAACTCCATTCATCTTCCACCTGGCTTGTATTTATTTCTGTCTTGTATCTTCATTCTTTTCCTTAGCCACATAGTATTATTTTTGTTTATGCAGTCAATTTTCATTTAGAGGTAGGTAGCTTCACTTTTATCCTGAGGAGGGGGAGGGTGCCTTCTGGCATGTCAGCTTTACAAGTAGGATTTTCTACTAGCTATCCCTCCCTTGTGAGGACCCTGAGTTTTGTCTCCAGTCCTCCAGACTCTGGGAAGCTATCAAAACTGAATCTGCTGTGTATAAGTTTCTGTAAAACTCCTCAGGGTATAAATGCCTTCACAGTCCTACTCAACCCTGCTCCACTCCCACTTTCATGCATATTTTGGCCTGTTACATCAGACTATTTTAAGCTTTTATGAAGAATTTTGAAACTATATACCCAATTGTTTCAGATAATTTCAGGAGGAGAGTTGATTCAAATAATTTAGCCTTTTGGTGGTGATGGAACTGATTTGAATAACCCAAGTTTTCCATCTGCTTTCCATCTTCTAAATATTTACTGATATTTCTAGTCTGCTGTTCTACTCTGCATTCTCTTCATCCTTACGAGTTTTATTTTCACTCCTTTACTTGCCTCTTTAGCATGATTTCAGGGAGGAACAAAGATAAAAGAATATGTTCAGTTTTCTGAAGTCGTTCTATAGACAAATTGATTTTTTTTTACATTTTGAATTATTCTTCCTGATTATCAAAACATGGTTACTATAAAAATTTTGAAATTCAGAAAAATATAAAGAAGATGAAATAAGTAAAATCATTCATGATCCCAGCACACAGAAGCAGCCACAGTTAACATCAGCAGATCTACCAAAGCACAGGTTGTAAGCTCTAAATGTTGATCTTTAGCTTCAGGGACTATATAATATTCAACTATTCTGGGCATCACAAGGAAAGAGAGATCTCATATGCTGTAGGCTCATTTCAGTGTTACACTAACAAATATGAAAATATTAGAAAGGACTACATCTAGAGGTTTATGGGAAACTGGGAACAGAAAGGCTGTTTAAGGGAATTAGCTCATCTAACAAGAAAATCTAGCATAGAGAGAACTCCAAGGGAGAGGACAATCTGCTACTACTCTGAGGTGAATCCAAGACCACATGTAACTCTCATCACTAATGAAAAGAGCAACTATTTTTATCAAATAAGTAGTTTTTAACATCTCAAAATAAACACCTATTAAAATTTTTTTAATAGAAATACCAAACTGTCCTTTTAAAATGTGCATTTAACCATGAGAAAATTTGCTATAAAAGAGCAATATATTGACCAATTTGCAAAGCAAACATTAGTTTTGTAGCGGGTGCACATTTACACAATGATTCTAATTCTAGGAATTTACCCTATGGATAAACTTCACACATGCAAAAGGATGCATGCATAAAATTATTCACAGGAGAATTTTTTTCCAACAGTAAAATATTAGAAACTAAAGAAGCTTGTTAGATAATTCAGGATGCATCTATAATTTATAAAACTATGCAGATAATAAAAATAAAATGTGGGCACTCTTTTTGTACCAATATGTTTAGATCTCCAAGACATACATTAAGTAAAAAAAAAAAAAAAACAAAGATAGTTTTCATGTTACCATTTCTTTAAAAGAAAAAGAATAAATATAGGCTCTGAAAAAATTTTTTTCTGAAAGAATAATTAAAAAGCTGACAATAGTTTCATTTGTAGGCAAAGAGAAGTAATAGGAAGAAGGGGAGAGAGACAGTACATCTTTAAATACTTTTTGATATTTGAACTATGTACTTCTTTTCAAAAATAACAAATTACTCTTTAAAAAATGATAAACATAAATCCTGCCAAAGAGTTACACAGTTGACGTAAGATATCAGTGGCATCCATCTAACACAAGGAATTAAGAAAGACCTACACTGAGTGAAATTTGCTTGACCATGTTCCAGAAAGATGTAGAGCTGAAGAGCAAGTTGTGGGCAACCTTCCAGGTAGGTCTCAAACAGCCTTAGCATGCTCAAATCTGTCACCCTATCATTAATCTGTTTTTCCACGAAGTTTTCAGTTTTGCTGCCATACTTGAAAGCCACTTGATAACCTTGTTTCAAGGCAAACCAATACCTGTAAAGTAAACATGAACATTTATCTTCAGTAATAGATTCTCCATGTGTGTTCATATACATAATAATTTTGAAAAAAAGTAATATGTGTTTAAGAATAGAATTTTCCCACAAACTTTTATCTGCTACAATTTTGTAAACATTTCACAGTAGTTGTATTGAGATTCAAGACTCCACAAATTTTATTGGATGTGCTAGCACTATTAAGCATATTTATTTCATCTTCAAAATAATTATGAGACATGAGTCGGTATTATTCCCAATTAACAGTCGGGAAAAGTAAGACTGAGAACTAGAATGATATGCTAAAAGATACACAAAGTGTCAGGAGCAGACCTAGAGTCCAAACCTTTATCTTATGATTCCTAGTCCTAACCACTACTTTCTGAAAGACAAACTGCAACGTCCACTTCACGCAATTTATCTTAATTATAAGACAGATATTAATACATGCCCTTATGAATATGTCAAGGTTGAAGATAAGACTGAATATTCTTTCAATTTAATCTAGCAAATAATTACTTGACCCTTGAACAACATGGGGGCTAGGGACACCAACCCTCTGTGCAGTTGAAAAATTCACGCATAATCGCTAGTTGGTAGTCGGCCCTGTGTCCTCAGTTCCACATCCATGGATTCAACCAACCTCAGAGTGGGTAGTACTGTAATATTTACTACTGAAAAGATCTGCATATAAGTGAACCCACACAGTTCAAACCCATGTTATTCAAGGGTCATCTGTACTCCATAATCTACAAAGTATTAGTCTCTGTGACCATCAGCATCCTGAAAAATATATAAAATTTCAAAGACTCCTAAAACATCCTTGCTCAGGCTCTTCTTTACAAGGAATTTTTAAATAAACATGAATTATCATCATTCAAGTAAAATTAATGACAAAAATAATTGAAACAATTATTTTTAAAATATCCAAGGCTAGCAATAAGACAATTAGAATTCTAGTCCAAAGTTTATCAAAATTATTTATACCTCAATTTCCTCATATATAAAATTACAATAGTGATATATATCCTGCTTCAACTTGCTCTGTCAATGTTTCCCATTTCAGTAAATGGCACTAATATTCATCATGTTGCTCAAAGCAAAATGTGGGAATAATTTCCAATTTCTTTCTTTTTCTAACACCCTATAAAAATTCCCCAGTGGGTTCTCTTGGTTCTTAGTTCAAACTCCAAATATTTCCAAATCTAAACACATCTTATCACTTCCACTGCCTCCATCCTAGTTTAAGCAGCCAGTGTCTCTGGCCTGAATTACTTCAGTAGCCTCATAACTGGCGTCTCTGATTCTACTCTTGCTCCCTATACAGCATCTAGATTGAACCTGTTAACCATAATTTAGATGCTATCCCTCCAGTCAAAATATTCTAATGCTTTCCATCATACTTAGAATAAAACACAAAGTTTTTACGCCATCTTACAAGGCCCCCTGTAATCTGACTCCCACACAATGACACTGCCTTTCCCTTTCAAGTCTCCCACACTTTCAGGGTACTATTCGTGCTGTTTTTTCCCAACTTAAAGGCCTTGGTCTTTGCTATTGCCTCTTCCTGGAATTCTTCTAAACCCCAGAGATTTTACATGCTTTCTCCTTAACTTCATTCAGGTCTCTATTCAAATGCCACATCCTTACTGATATCTTTCCAGATCACACCATCAGATTCTCTTTATCCTATTATTTTTATTACCACTTGACACATTATATATTTTTATTTGTACCTTCTCACAAGAATGAGATCTGCATGAAAGCAGGGACTTTGTTTTGTTCATTGCCATATCCTAAGCAACTAGAACAGTCCTGGGACATAGCAGACTCTCAGAAAATATTTACTGAAGGAATGAACAAATGAAAAACTCATGACAATTTTTCCATAAAGAGACAGTAGATATGAAAAGGCTTTGAAAAGTTGAAAGACATAAGATATTCTGATTGTAAACATGATGTATACATATATGAATATGCAAAGATTCTTCACCTAGCAAATTGAAGTATATTTTTACCGTAATAGCTTTAGGATAACATAGTCCATTATATTCCATGTGGACTAGATGCCAGGGCAGAGGGTCTACAAAAATGATGGAAGACATGACCTCCACCTTCAATGACCTTACAGCCTAGTAGGAAGATCAAGCCTATAAACTGCTAACTGCAAAATGAGGCAGAAGAAATAACCACTCAACAGAAATGTAAATACTATTGATATACTGTAAAAGCACAGGAAAAAATGATTAACACTGTCCAGGATTTACAGGCAAGATTCATAAGATAATTTGTGTTTGAGTTTCTTCTGGGTATCTGGCACAATAACGGGGGCTTCCCGGTGGCTCAGATGGTAAAGCGTCTATCTGCAATGCTGGAGACCCAGAAGATCCCCTGGAGAAGGAAATGGCAACCCACCCAGTACTCTTGCCTGGAAAATCCCATGGACAGAGGAGCCTGGTAGGCTATAGTCCATGGGGTCACAAAGAGTCGGACACGGCACAGTAAGGAGTTCCTGTATGTATATTATGTAAGACTAATAAGCAATACAGTATGTGGTTCCTGTTTTTAAACGTATCTATCCTTTTAAAGCAAGAGGATAGATACCACTAACTGAAAAACTTGAAAAACACACAAACATTATTGGTACATGCTCAGAGCAAATTAATATAGGTAGCACAGAGTGGGAGAGCTAGCAGAATACAGTGATTAAGAGTAATGACTCTAAAAAACTCAGGATGCTTGGATTCAAATCCTTGCTCCAATACTTCTTAGTGATGTTTCAGGTTCCTCATTTGAAAAAGGGGGTAATCATCATACCTACCTCATTGGGTTGATATAAGGATTAAAGGAACTAATGCATGTAAAATGCTTAGACCAGTAACTGGCACATGTTAAATGCTATGTCAATGCCTGTTAAACAAAAAAAACAGATGGGGCTGTTCACAGATGTGCACATTAATATTTCCAGGGGCTTTAGGGAGGAATATTTTCCATATCTGTAGCACTTAGTGGCAAATGTATACAAAGTTCTGCTTATCTAAGGATAATTTCATGCAAAGGGGAGTATGAATATAATTTTTTAATCAACAAGATATTGTTTCAGTTTTATGGGATAAATGACGAAGAGGCCAAAGAAAAATAAACAGAAGGAGCTTTCTTAGCATATTTTATCACAATGTATTATTTTATTTGAGATAAAGAGACAACAGCTTCTAGTAATGATGGATTCCTTTGCATCAAGCTCACCCTCCTACTGATGACAATGATAAATTATAAACAAAATATTAAAGATAACAAGGCACAAAAGAGCAACCAAAAGTAGGAAGAAGCATGAGGTCACTTAACCCTTGAGAGAAGGGAACGATACTACAGGAGAAGCACATGTGGCTTTTCCTCTAAAGCATCCCACAGTCCAAACGGTACAAAGCAGACACAGTTCAAGCAGAAACTCAAATTATTATTGGCTCAAAGTGTCAAAGTACTGAGGTTGAATCTGCCAGAGTGGTTAGAAATTAAGAGGGACCTCAGAAAAGAGGGAGCCACAGAGTAAAAGGAACCCCAAAGCTGCATATATTCTCCTTAAATCCTCGGTCAAACCCTTACTATATATATATATATGTAGGGTGAGACTCCAAGGAACTGAGGAACAATGGCTAAATGGGACCTGGGCAGAGATTTCAGCAGCTATCTACTATAAGGAAGAGTATAGAGTTTGCAATCCATCAAATTCAAGGAGCTTGGTTAATACTTCAGGCATCCCATTGAAACCCCAAAAGGCCATGTTTTAGAAATAGAGACTATATTTTGGGTCTGTGAGACTTTCCCTAGGACTAAGGACAAAAGCAAAACAGACCTTCCCTAATAAAGCTTAAACCAAGTCTCTGTAATACATCAAGGTAATTTGCCAATAATTTAGCTATTTGCTTTCTCTTCAATGGAAGATAACAGAAATTACAGTCACTGCAAGGTATCAATCACAATGCCCATTACACAATAAAAAAAAAATTACTTGAGTAAAATTTTTACTTGAGTAAAAAAAATTCACTCTTAATGCAAATTAAGAGTAAATGTAACTTATGCTAAAAGGGAAAACCAGGTAATAGAAACATATCAGTTAACAGAACCATACCCACAGATGACACAGATACTGCAATTAGCAAATAAACACAGAAAAAATTAGGAAAAAACTAACAGAACCTCATAACACAGGTGTAATTGAAGTCACAAAAGAAACAAAGAAAATGAGACGGGAAAAAAACAAAACTTGACAACATACTGGCCAAAAATATTTTCCAAAGTTGATTAAAACAACATAAAGCTCAATAACACAAACAGAAAACATGAAAAGAATATGTAGGCCAAGAAAACAACTATATCAATAATTGCAATAATATATGAAATGGAAATAGATTAAATACTTCAATTAATAAAAGACTGTCAAGCTGGGAAAAAAAATTAAGATTCAACTCTGTGATTTGGAAGAGACTCTCTTTATACATCTTGAGCTTCCCTGGTGGCTCAGATGGTAAAAAAGCGTCTGCCTGCAATGCGAGAGACCCAAATTGGATCCCTTGGTTGGGAAGATCCCCTGGAGAAGGAAATGGCAACCCACTCCAGTATTCTCGCCTGGAAAATTCCATAGACTGAGGAGCCTGGTAGGCTCCACGGGGTGGCAGAGTCGAACACGACTGAGCAACTTCCCTTTCACTCTTTATACATAAAGATATAGACAGTTCGAAGGGCAATCACAAAAAATAGTTAGTATGGCTATATTAGTATGCCAGACAAAATAGATTTCAAATCAAAGAGCATTCACAGAGATAGAGGATCATGTCATAATGATATGAATCAATTTTTCCAGAACACATCCGAATGAACCTAATAACAGAGTTTTAAGACACATGAAGCAAAAACTGTCAAAAGTACAAGAAGAAAAAGATAAATCCACAATCTTAGAGCATTTTAACACTCATCTTTCAGTAAACGAAAGAAAAGGTA